CTAACTTCCAGATAGAGGCCATCCTCTCATGTCTGGTGAGCTTTGCTTGTCTGCTCACAAATGAGAATGGGATGGTAAAAAGCTGGCAGGAAGCCCTATACACATTAATGGGGCTCATAGACTTTGGATGGACAATTTGGGGGAGAGTCCCTTGATTTGAATATTGTTAGGTCTTTCCTGGGCTGGTAAGATTCCCCAGGGGAGATTCCCATTCTCCAGCCTGCAGGTGAGTGCCTCACTGCTAGGGAAACGTGGGTGCAGAGTGGGGGAAGCAGCTGGCAGTGCTTACATCCAGCACTTATTGTACATCTATTCACATGATCCCTTGTTTTGTTTTTGTGTCTGCTTGTTGTTTTTTAGTGTGATACTTACACCTCTGCTGAGCCTGGCCTGCCCTGTCCATAGAGAAAATTGTGGATTTCAGTCAGAGGCAGGAAGCGGGGGAGAGCATGTAGGAGTCATCCTTCTCATTCAGTGCTCACTCAGTCATCCTCTTAGCCCACCTTCCCCTTCATCCTTGTTCCAGGAATACCTGCTGTCACCTGCGGTGGACACTTCTGAGCGTTCTGAGGCATAGTAACGTCATCTGGTTCTCAGTTTTCTCAAGGCCACCAAGCCAGTAACTCCTCATTCATCTGCCTTCAAGCTTCCAAATGTTACTTCTGTTAGCATCTCTCTAGATCTCATCTTTGTGTTATCCCTTTAAAAAAACAAATCCGGGCCAGCCCCGTGGCTGAGTGGTTAAGTTAGCGCACTCTGCTCTGGTTCGGATCCTGGGCGTGGACATGGCACCACTCATCAAGCCACGTTGAGGTGGTGTCCCACGTACTACAACTAGAAGGACCCATAACTAAAATATACAACTATATACTTGGGGGATTTGGGGAGAAAAAGCAGAAAGAAAAAAAAAAAAGAAGATTAGCAACAGTTGTTAGCTCAGGTGCCAATCTTTAAAAAAAAGAAAGCTAAAAAAAATAAATCCTTGGATTGCAGTTTCATTCAGGTGTCAAGAGTCATGAAATTACTCATAGGTTTCAATCCATCATCTTAACCTACATTCAGGAGTCTCACTCTTTCCCCACTTCCTTACGTGGCAGGATGAAAGCGTAGAGGCCACAACTTGATTGTGTGTGCATTTCCACAGTATCTTCGGAAACGAAATCAAAACCACCCACACACATGAGATTGTGTGTGGACAGACAGTGGAGACAGTTCCTTTCTTTATGGAGCAAGAGACTTTGTCACTGCTCCCCTCCAGGGGTTCCCTTCCTTCACTGCGGACGCCTGGGCATCCATCGCAGTCCACAGCCCACCCCTGCCATGGCTTTTCACTGGGGTCTCAGCGACACAGAGAACGAAGCATCACTGTGGCTTTCTCCTTCACTTCAATGTACAACATATATATCAGCAGTTGTAAACTAGCTCACAATTGCAGTTGCAAATGCTTTTGCCACGTTTTATATTGTTAATATTTGTATGGGATCTTTGATTAAACTGTTTTGCCAATAGCTCATTTTGTTTCTCTCTGAGCACAATCTATGTGATTAACTCCGCAGCCAGGTTTACAAGATTCTTAACAATGTAACATGTACCTATTTTTGTTTCAATGAGTAAAAATTTTGTGCAAAGGGTTGGGCATTTTTGTCTTCGCTCTGTGTTTAGCAATGAAATTAATCAGTTTTGTCCTAGAAAGCAATTTGCTTGTTCTGGAAAAACTCCATTGGTTGATCAGAATGTCCCTGCTTTTGCTTGTTGAATGACTCCAAACCTCTGACCAGGTTTTAACTTTGCTGGGGGAACTCGGGCAAGGGCAGCTTTGATCTAATCAAATTCGTTTTTCAGATATTCAACGTGACGCCTCCTATTCAGTTTCAGCTTTCACCTGCTTCCTGTAAAATCATCACATCTGCAGATTTGCTGGACCCAGTAAGCCCTGCCTGACATTCTGCATCATTCTGGAATCAGAGTGACCTTGTGTGTTCACAAGATTATTCTGATCTGTAGGACATACGTTGCTATTTCCATCCCTCTTTTATGCTTCAGTGAACACTTCTGAGCCACTGATTCCTTTTTCAGAAATGAAATTGAGTCAAATATAACCTAATAGCAGTAATAAAGATTGCAAGCTTGATAAACATAAACAAGATAACGGTGTGAAAAACACATGAACCAGGATGACCCCTGTTAACTGACGGTTAAGACAATCTGATTAATGGAGTCCTTGTGAAAAATGCTCGACAATTAAATATGCAATGGTTACTCAGAACAAAGGGGATTTCTGTGAAATCATTAGACTCTTACGTTTCTAATTCATGAGGTGTGACTGCAACAGTTTTGTTGCTTTTTCTTCTGAAACTCCCAAGTGCCTGTGGCCCACTGGAGAGATTACTGGGTCCATGCTTTGGGAGTGCGGGTCTGAGCGAGAGGAGGGCTTCTCGGGAAGCAGGTGAGAACCAGCAGGGACTTGAGGATTGATCTGGACTCATTAGTTCTTGCCCAATCTCTCACCAAAATGCCTCGAGGGCTGTCCTGACTGATTCTACCGGATCCTGAGCCTTGGCGTCTGTTTCTTCCCATAGGATCCACTTGCCTGGAGTAGCAGCTGGCACAGAGTAGGTGCTCAACCATTAGAGGCCTTCTCTTGGGTTGTCAGAGGCGAAGTGACGACAGCACAATTGATTAGGGGATAGAATTTGCTACTGTTGACTATAACACAATCAGAACTGGAAACATGGAGCAATCAGATTCGGCACTTCAAAAAGAGAGAAGTCTGTGGCACCGGCCCAGAGCAGGTCTGTGGAGTGGCTTTGTTTACCACCACCACGTGAGAACGCTGCCTGGGAGAGTGGCTGTGACAGGCAGCTCACACCTCCCTGCTGGGCTGATGGGCAGGAAAGCTGTCAGTCTCCAGCAGAGGGATACTGAGGCAAAGGCTAGTGGCTTTCTGACATGTGATTTGATAGCTGTACACACCCAACTATTCAAAATGATCCTTATTATTCAAATTTTTGTAGAAAAAATGAATTTTATGTTAGAGTATGAAACTCTCAATCCTTTCTTTGAAACAATAGCTTTTAAAATACAATTTTTGCAAACCTGAGTTTTCTTAGGAATGCAACTGTCTGCTAATTTAATAAAAGACTTCTTTTTTTAATATAATTATAGGCTTTTTTGAGCAGTTTTAGGTTTACAGAAGAATTGTTGGAAAGCACAGTGTTCACACATGCCCCTCCCACCATCAAACTCACAGTTTCCCCTGTTATTAACATCTTGTCTTAGTGTGGTACACTTGTCACAACTGATGAACCAATATTGATACATGGCATGGACTAAAGTCCGTAGTTACACTAGCGTTCACTGTGTGTGGTACATTCTAGGGGTGACAAATGTATAATGGCGTGTATCCACCATTATGTATCATACAGAACAGTTTCAGTGCCCTAAAGTGTCTGTGCTCCAGCTTCTCCCTCACTTTCTACAAGCCACACTGGGTGACCCTTCCTGAAAGAGAATTCTGTTCAAGATTTGCTCTTGCTTAAAACGTGCAGTGGCTTCCCCTGGCCCACAAAGTACAGGCTCATTAGCCTAGTGCTCTGGGCTTCTCACAAGCTGTAACTCCATCTGCACCCCCACAACCTCCCTTTCAGGTGGCTCTGCTCCTGCCAGTGTGTTTTTGGCACACCCCACACACGCCCCACTTTCCCACTCCCCTGCCTGTTCGTGCGGTTCTGTCCACACGAGGCCCCAGTGCCTTCTCTGCAGAGCTCCGCTCATGCCAAAGCCCACGTCAGGAGCTGCTCCTCAGACAGTCTCTGTGGCCTCCCGGGAGGCACCTCCCACTCCTCCGAGCCTCCCTGACTGTGTCCCTGTGTTTCCTCGACGGCATTCATAATTTTCCACCTTGCCTAGTTGTATGTGTCTTGTGTTCCCCAGTTGAGCAAAACGGGTAAGAGAACACGCTCTGGAATCAAAGCCTTCCATGCTGGCCCTTGACCTCAGTATTCAGGATACACATGTGTAACACGGGGCTAAGTACAGCCTCGACTACCTACAGTTGTGCGAGGATTAAATGAGCTAATTCACGAAGAGTGTTTACAAGATGGCCTGGTCCCTGGGAAGCACACTCACAAGTGCTAGCTGTTTCATTACCGCCACCACTGCCAACTGCTACTATGATGCTCCTCCTTGCACCACCCCTCCTCCCAGAGGGGAAGCCTGGGGGGACAGGGTGGGCAGCAGCAGGGGTAGGACTGGGTGGCCAGATTAGAAACAGCACGATTCCATCCAATAGAACCGCCACAGGAAGCCGCCTGGGCTGACTGTCCCCAGCTCTGCGCACTGTCCCCAGAGAACTCTCCCTGCTCAGGGCCTCCAGTGGTTGCATGGATGGCGGCATCAGCGGCGGCCCTGAGGACTGATGGCCTGCTGGGGCCGGGGGAGGAGGGAAAACCTGGCAGCTTTGGGTGGAAGCCAGTGTGACTGGTTCAGTTTTTCCACCATTCAGTTTTGGCTTGTCCCTGTGCACTGGCTTTGGAAAAAGGGGGAGGAAGCTCTCTACCTTTCTTTGACCTCTTCCTCGTTCAGATTCTCCTCTCCACTGAGGCTTTACACTCTCCAGGTGGGAGGTAGGGAGATGGAGGAGAAGGGACGCCTGGCGTCGTGAGAGCAGGGCAAAGCCAAGGCCAAGCACGGGTGGGAACATGGTGGGGAAGGCAGAGGCACGGAAATCTAGGGAGAGGGCAGGGCTGTTGGTGGAGAAGGCCCCAAGGAAGGGGGAGATTGCGCGGGCTTAGTCCCCCGCTCCAGGAAGGAGACAAAAGTCTGCGAACCCTGATTTGTCAAAATGAACCCAGCCACGCTCTCATCTCTCAGCTCCCGCCTATCCTGTCCGTCTCCACCACCACTTCTCTCCGCCTCCCCTTGCCAAGCCCAGACTGGCTTAATTTTCACTTTTCTGTTCTCTCATTATGCCTCATGAGTATATCAGTCGCTGCACTTACCACTTGCTTTACAGTTATCTGTTTAGGTGGCCTTCTCTTGCGTGAATTTGTGCGCCTGGGGGCAGGGGCTGGCTCTCATTCATTCGGTAGCCCAGTGGCCTCGCTCAGCACCTGGCATATGCCAATGTTGAGTAAGCGTTCAGTAAATGAGTAACTGTCCATTGTGACATGTGGCATCCTCAAGGTCACATAAACAGCTATGTGACACTAAGGGTCAGGGGATTATCTTCCCACCTGAGGGTAAAGGGTGGAGGGTGGAGGATGGAAAGAAATTTTTTAAAAAGTGAACATTAAATAGTTGAATTATGGGTATAATTTCTAATCAGATAATTTTTTCCTCCTATAAATATGAGCAAGATGCAAAGGAGAAATCGAGGCAGTTCAACAGATAGGAGACAGAGCTGCACTCCCTACATCTGTCCTGGTGATCTGGTTGGAAGTGGATTGGGGCTGCTCGGCTAGGCTCACTCTTGCCATGAGTCATGCAGCCGTGCTCTGGACTCCGTCCCCATCCTTAAACGGCTCCCTCGGGAGATTCTCGCAGCTGTCACTGAAGACTTTCAAAACGACCATTTCCCCCGAATGGAATCTGGGGAGTCCAGATCTGATATTGGTGTATTAGTCAGGGTTCTCCAGAGAAACAGAACCAGCAGGAGACTATATATATATATATATATGGATGTGTGTGTGTATATATACACACACTTATGTATTTAGAATTGGCTCACACAATTGTGGAGGCTGAGAAGTCTCACCATTTGCTGTCTGCGAGCTGTGAAGACCGAGGAAAGCCGGTCATGTGATTTGCTGTGAGTCTGAAGGCCTGAGAACTAGAGGGGCTGATGGGGTGAATCCCTGTCTAGAAGAGAAGATGAAGTGAGACGTCTCAGCTCCAGCAGTGAGGCAGGAAATGCAGGGGCGGCTTCTTCCTGTGTTTTGGTCCATTCAGGCTTTCAATAGATTGGATGATGCCTACACTGAGGAGAGCAGCTCACTGGGTCCACGGCTGCAAATGCCAATCCCGTCCTGCAACACCCTCCCACACACACCCAGAAACAGCGTTTCACCTGGGCGTCCCTTCCACCAGCCAAGTTGACACATGAAATTAACCATCACAACTGGGTAACTAAGTAGTATGGCTAATTGAGTTACCAATTTTTAAAAATTATGCTAAAATACACATAAAATTCACCATTTTAACCATTTTTTAAGAGTATAGTTTAGTGGCATTAAATGCACTCACATCGTTGTGCAACCATCGCCACCATCCATCTCCAGAACTTTGTCATCTGTCCCCATTAAACTGTAACTCCATTCCTCTCTCCCCCAGCCCCTGGTAACCACCACTCTACTTTCTATCTCTATGAGTTTGACTGCTCTATGTGCTACATATAAGTGGAATCATATAATATTTGTCCTTTTGTGACTGGTTTATTTCACTCAGTATAATGTCTTTAAGATTCATCCATGTTGTAGCATGTCAGAATTTCCCCCCTTTTTAAGGCTGAATAATATTCCATTGTATGGATACACCACATTTTGTTTATCCAGTCATCCCTTGAGGGACACTTGGGTTGCTTCCACCTTTTGGCTATTGGTAATAATGCTGCTGGAACATGGGCGTACAAGAAAGTTAACAATTTTAAACAGAATTCAATAAATACAGAAAAGCTGAGACATGTTTTGATGTTGATGTAATCTTTTAGAAGGGTGACCATATAATTTATCAGCCAAACGTGATCACGTCTGAGAGTGAATGGGCCACTGTGAATAATTCTGCTGGGACATCAGGCATATGCCAGGACTGGGAGGGCAAACCAGGCGACAGGCTCACCCTCATCTGCAGGGGTGCAGAGTGTGCAGGAAAAGCCAGCCGGTCCTCCTCCTGCATTTCTCCTTTACTCTCTACTACCACACTCACAACACTTCTCACGCCAGATGTGTGGGGTTTTCCCCACAGCAAGCAATTCTGTAACATAAGCTGGGTGTCCTACAGACTAACTTGATTTTGACACTGTCTACCTGGGGAGAGTGTCAGATCCCATGGGTTAAGGGCTCAGTCCCACAAGACTGCTCCCCAATTCAGAGGCGAATTGCAAGCAGTAGGACCCCAGGTTTCCCACAACTTCTGTCTGACGTGACTAAAAATTGAAGGTTGCCATGACCTCCTTCCCCTTGGATTCAATTATTTGCTAGAGTGGCTCAGGGAACCTGGGGAAATACTTATGTTGACTAGTGTATTAAAGAATACAGGTGAAAAGCCAGGTGAAGACATACATAGGGCGAGGTCTGGGAGAGTCCCAAGTGCAGGAGCTTATGTCCCCATGGAGTTGGGGTGCATCACCTCCTGTTACTGGGTGAGTTCACCCACCTGGAAGCTTCCTGAACCCCCTCTGGCGGTTTTATGGAGGCTTCCTCACGTAGGCATGATCAGTCATCAACTCCATTTCCAGCATCTCTTCCCTCTCTGGACAATGAGTGGGGTTGAAAATTCCGAGTTTCTAATCATGGTTTGGTCTTTCTGGTGACCAGCTCCGATCTAGGAGCCCACCAGAGTTGCCTCATTAGAACAGAAGATGCTCCTAGTGCTCTTGTCACTTAGGAATTTACAAGGGCTTCAGAGCTCTGTGCCTGGAACCGAGGAAGAGACGGATATGTACATTTTCTATGATCTCACACAGAGGCAGCGTTTCGGTGTTGTGAATAATGAGCTGGAATGGCTGCACACAGGTGTGCTGTGAGACACGTGGAGCCTTGACAGTGACTCGGGTGGATCCTTACGGGGCTAAGGTCGTTCATTTTTTGTAATACAGATTTGATATTGCGTTTCTTGTTTTCCTCTAAGAGGAGAAAAAATATGTGAAGTTTTGTAGTATTTTTGAGTTTAAGATATAGAGAAGTTTGTTATGCTGAGTAAAGAAACACAATTTCCTAAAACAATCTGGGTTTTCTTCCCTGTAAATTGACTTACTGCTAAGTTGCTTTGTTTTTCATAAATGCTACCTTTCTCTCACCTGACAGTTTACCTTGTAAAATGAAATCTAAGAGCCATAGGTTCTCAGGTTGGTAGGCTAGAGAAATCTATCTCATCCCATCCTTCTGTCAAGCATTAACTTCTGAAATCTCAGACAACCCATCCATCTCCCCTTGAGTGCCCTGGGGGAGGGGCCCTCCACGGCAGCCCTCCGCGTTGTTACAGCCTTCCCTGTCTGCTTTCCAGAAAACCGACACCAACCTTTCACAGAGTGTTTTGCTCATTTTTCAGTAAATTGTATGTGTAAGATCCAGAGACCATATAGGTTTTGTCAGCTGTGGAATCCCCAGGGCCTCAAAAGGTCCTAGCCCTTGCCATTCCCGGGGTGGAATGCATTTTTCTTGATTGATGGAATGAATGAATAGATTGAATACTGGAAAATAAGGAATAAGAAAAGATCTGTTGCAGCAACAATTAGTCTGCTTGACTTGATTTCCTGACAAGTGTGGGGGACGTCCTACATATTTAACTTATTTCATTATACCTGATAACATTTCTGCCCCAGAGTCCTCATGAAGAACTTCATCTAGGTCAGTGGAGTGCACAATCTTTTGATGTTTTTCTTAAAATGCCCCCAATTGTTCATAAATAAGCATCAGCAGACACATCATCAAAGAACAGTTTCACAGCTGAATAATTAAGGATTCTATCAGTGTGGCTTAAAGAGCAATGGTAATAACTGGTCAGTATTTAGGCCACGTCTCACACAATAAAGATTAAAAGATATCTCCTTGCCAGACACAAAAGGACAAATGTATGACTCCACATATATGAGGTGCCTATGATGTGGGCTCGGGGAGCCAGAGTCGAAAGAAAGATTTCTTGGACTCTCAAGGTCTGGTAGTAGTGCTCCTTTATTCAGAGAACAGCATGGGGACAGGACCCACGGGCAGTGAAGAGATGCAGGCAGGGGACAGGACCCATGGGCAGTGAAGAGCTGCGATGTGTTGAGGGTTAGGGCTAAATTGATAAGGCATGGGTATTTGACTTATTTTCTACTGGACAATGGAAAGATGATGTAAAAAGTCATTAAATGGTATCAGTGCAGGTGGGGTCTGGTTATTGTGTGATCATATAACTACATATGAATCAGGTCATATAGATCGGCATATAGGCCAGGACGCCTTGAGCTTCTCTCCTGGGGGCAGCCCTGATCCACATCACCTAGAGCAGACAAATTCATGGAGACAGGAAGCAGAGGATGGTTACCAGGGGCTGGGGGAGGGGGAGAGAATGAGGAGTTAACACTTGGGTAGAGTTTCAGCTGGGAAGATGAACAAGTTCTGGAGAAGGATGGTTGTGATGGTTGCACAACAACGTGAATGTACTTAATGCCACTGAAGTGTACACTTACACATGGTGAAAACGGAGCCAGCCCTGGTGGTGTAGTGGTTAAGATTCAGCCCTCTCACTGCTGCTGGGATCGTTTCCGGGTTGTGGAACCACACCACCTGTCTGTCAGTTGTCATACAGTGCCCGTGGCTCACATAGAGAACTAAGTTAACAACTAGGATACCCAACCATGCACTGAAGTGTTAAAAAGAAAAAAAAAGGCTAAAATGGTAAATTTTATGTGATGTATATTTTACATGACATAGCATATCTTCCTGAGAAAGGCAGGGCCCTGAGCCACCTTCTGCAGCCGTTCAAAGGGCAGGTGGGCTGTGCCAGACTCTTTCTTTCCTCTTAAGTCTCCCTGAGACCTCAAACTTAGTCTTTCTATTTGAGAAGAGTCTGGTTCAAAAACGTGAGGATAAAAATGACTTGTGGACCCTCCAGGCCGCCTGGTTCTGCTGGCGAAAGCAGTGGTAGCTGAGCTGGTGACCCCAGCTACCAAGGAAGCTACTATGTGGAAAGGGGGCTGGGGTCCCCAAGACATTTTCAGTAGTTCAGAACACCTAAAGGTAGTCATAGACAGCGCTTATAGAGGTAAAGCTGCCAGGTAAGCTGTCCTGGCCTTCGGGTGCTGTCATCTCAGGGCGGCAACACTATGAGAAACCCTGAACGCCATGGCGGGTGCCAGCGCGAATTATCATTAACCAGGTTCTTCCAGAGAAAAATAATTTAAAATCTTGCTACTCAAAGGTGGTCTGCAGAGCAACAGTGGGGGCTTCACCTGGGCCTTCGCTAGACGTGCAGAACCCCAGGCCAGCCCAGACCTTTGGACCCAGGCCAGCATTTTACCAAGATCCCCAGGTGACTTATTTACATCTTCAAGCTGGACAACTTCAAGACATGGACTCCACGGAGAACAGTAAGTGGATACTTTGTAGGCAACAGTTTGGGAATTACTTGTTTACGGAAGTAACCCACTAAGGCTATCAAAGAAATAGGAGTTTTAAGCTGGGGGACTATTGCTGGTACAAAATCCTTGCCTTGGGGACGGTTGAATTTCATGCCGTTAATGAGAATCACAGGCTTCACCTAAGATTTCGTAGGGGACCAAGGGAGGAAGTTGACATCACACCTCCCACACGACAATCCCCCAATGGGCCCCGCATCTCAAAGGAGGTTGAGGGGAGGGTAGCCACCAGGCCTGTTCTCCCCCTGAAGTCTGATGCCTGTCCCCTCCTAGGGGCTTCAGCCACCACTCCTCCAGGAAGGCAGGTTTCTCTCTGCATGAGAACTCTCTTAATAGTTAATCAGCCACTAAGAGAATGCAATTTCTCTATATGATTATATTTATAGTTCTTTTCAAACAAGTTACTGTGGTCATTTGAAAGAAATACAGCAAATCTCCCCCAGATTAATACAGGACAGTAACTCTGTAATTGCGTGGAAACTCATGTCCCTGAACTCCTGCTTTGATTGATAATCCATAGGTAAGGGGACCAGAACTACAATGTATTGTCTTCTCTAAGCTGGATGCTGTTTATGTGCAGTTAGTCCATCAAATTTCCCCAAATTCTGAGATCGTTCCTCAGAAGGGGAAACGGGCTCAGAGAAGTTACCTAACCTGGCACAAGGCCACAAGATGATAGAGGCCCTGATTCAAATGCAGGTGTTATCTCACCCCCTGGACCTCGACCTCTGCCCACCAGCCTCCCTGCACTGCAGACTGAAAGTCAGCGCCGGGCTGGGCTGACCGTGTCTGCATTCCCTCTGGTCGAAGGGGTCTCTCTGGCCCAGGTCACGTCTGCCCTAAGGCACAAATGGGGCACTGATAAACGGCTCCGCAGGCCACGAGGGTCCTTACAGCCGTTGGGTGGCATGGGAACAACCAGGCAGCTTAACATCATAGGCTTCTGAGTTTCCTGATCTCTCAGGCATCAAACAAGACAAGAAAGGCGGTTTTTAAAGGTGTTTCCTGCCGAAGGAAACCTAGGAAGTACTGGAAATCTTACAGACATTTGATCCTGAAGACATTTTTTCCAACCTCCTCCTCCCTTTTCTCTTTGAGAAAAAATAACGTGGGTCCAGAGACAGCGGGCAGGGAGATGCTCTGGAGCAATGCAGCACGGCAGCCCTGTCTCTGGAAATTCTTCAAGGGGTATTTTAGCCGCGGTGCCTGAGCCATCCAGTTAGCAACCTGATAGAAGATGGGGCTTCTAAGGGTGACAAGCCAATGGGAAGCTCCTCCTACAGCAGCTGACAGCCCGCATGTTGCACAGGACACTACGAAATGACCTCTTGCAGGACGCCCGGGGTTTAGAGTGGAGCTTGAATATGCGGCAGAATAGACAGAACATGATACGGCTGATACGGCTGCAGGGAGTCACTTGTCAAAATAACTATGATGTGCCTGGCGCTAAATGAACATCAACGAAATGACAGAGCTCCTGTCTTCGAGAACTTTTCAACGTTGCAAAAGAGACAGAAACCAAAACCCAAACCCCAGTAGAAGCGTTACTAGTTGATGGCCAAGAGCCACACCATTATGGCCTCACGGAGGTTGGTCTGCTAATGGAGTCCTGCGGAGCTCACCTGCTAAGGCTTCCTCACACCCGTCCCTCCCTCCGGCTCTACTCGGGGTTTTGCAGCAGCTTCCTCCTGGCCGCCTCCTCATCCAGCCTTCTCCACGCTGCACAGGGCAGCCAGGTTGACACTTCTAAATACACTGTCTTGATGATCGCCCTGTAAAAACCGTTGGTGGCTCCCAACACCTACAGAACCTAGAGAAAGCCCCAGTGTCCCAGGCTGCCCTGTCCTCCGTCCTCTCTACTGCCCCCTTCTGCACCTCACATTCTTCCAAGGGCTCAGCTTCTACGTATGATTTCAAACCTCATTAGTTCTGTCCTTCCCTCTTCCTCAAACCTCATGCCTTTGAAGACTGTGCTCAAGTGTCCTAACCTCTAGGATACCTTTTCACAAGTGCACCCTCATCTCAGTTCTTGTGACATGCAGTTGCCTAACTGCTAGGAGCCTGGGCTGCGGCCAGAAGGCATGGGCTGTCATTCTGACCCGGGCACTTACCGTGTTACCTTAGGTAGATAGACTCTTTTGTCCATGCAGCGCCACAGCTTCTCATCTATGACAGACAGCTGTGAAGACGTTTATTAGAACAGTTCCTGGCATGAAGCAAGGATGCAATAAATGCTCACTATGTTCTCTTCAATGGTGTCTGTCTCGTCTGTCAACTTTAAGATCTTGGAGGTCCAGGACGGTCTCTGGTCATTTGTGAGACCTCGGGGCTAGTGGAGAGGAGGTGCTTACAAAAATGCCTGAAGTGAACAGCCAAGAACTTTCTTGGAGGTGAACATAAAGCTTGGATGACAGACTTGGAAAAAGCATTCCAGATAGGGATAATGAAATGTGAGAACAAAGGAACGAATGTGGGTGGGAGGTGGGAGGAGGCAGCTTGGATGAGGTGGACAACCCTCAGAGTGAAACAGGGAGAGACAGGCTGCAGAAGAAAGGGAATGAGGACGACTCTGGAGCCAAGAGCAAGCTGAAATGGTTACTGCCAGGGCCAGGGAGACTGCAGCAACGGAGACTGGCTGCACGGAATCAGGTGGGGAAAATTCTGGGCAGCAGAGAAACTAGTTAGAAAAACATGGCAATTATTGATTAAGTAGCTATAATAGCTACTACTCCCAAATCCTTCCAAAAAATAAAGGAGATTTTTATGATCACAAACGAGGCCACATTTTTTTATTGACAACTCAAACTCTACATACATCCAGTATTACACAGACTGTGAGATGGTAAGTGGACTGACAATTATATTAATGACACAAACCAATGAGCATTACCCAGGGCTGCCGCTCTAGGTTTTGGTGTATCCTGAGCCAGGTACTTTAGTAAATACGACAAATGTAAGGGAAGCAGCTACTTCAATTCATGAGAATCAGCTCTCAAAAAAAGCATGTATGTCATCTCACGCAACACTTAATATGTCAAACCCAGGAAAATCACTAAAAGACAAAAGGAACACTGCTAAAAAAAAAGTTGGTGACAAAAATGTTAGGTTTAGAAATTTTAGTAATTGGACTTAGGATCCAGAAAGTGTAGGTGTATGGAGAATTTTAAGAAAAGACCCCAAGTTCTGCTTCATGATTACTACTACATTCCAAAAGGATATTTCTGGGTTGCTACGATGTCTTCCCTGCTGTTAGAAACCACTGCTTCATGGTTCTAAAGAAACAAGAAGGCAATTCACATAAATGGGTTCTAAAATAAGATTCCTCTTGAAATAAAAACTAAACATGATCTGCACCAAATTACAAAGAAATCTGATTAAAGTGTTGAGCAGAGCAAAAAGCCAGACCACCCATGCACCCTCCCTGACTGCCTGGAGCACAGTGCAGGGAGGCCACCTACAGGGAAGGGGAGATGCAGCAGTCCCCTTCTGTCCCCACCCAGCCTGCAGCTGGAGGGGCGACACGGCCCTTCAGGCTCCCTGAGGATTTGCTTCCTAGGTACAGAACTGAGGGCGCGGGCCAAATGGCTTTTTATAGATCTTCCGACTCAAAGGCTCTCAGTGTGAGACCCCACCTTTGAGCGGACATGTTGGGTGGCAACAGAAACGGACTAAACATGGTGGGGGAAGCATTCCTTATCTTTTGATGCCGTCACTCAGACCTATTCTGCAGTTCAAGGACATCTTTGTCTGATACCTTCATCTAATGGCTGGTGCTGCTAAAGAGTAAGTGAACGAGGCAACTGACAATGAAATTTTGGATGAAAATGTAGAAAGACAATGACAAGTTTGGGAGAAAACCAATGCCCCAGATCACACCTGCAGTCAGGACTGTCTGCCTCTGAATTTTAGGAGCCATCAACCTGGTTGGGAGATGCACATTCAACAGAGATCTAAGGAGTGTGAGAATGTTTCCTGAAATTCTCCCTGGAAGGCGACTGTCATGAAGCTGGTTCTAACAGGAAGGATGCAAGCAAATTAGGTGCAGGGTAGGATTTGTTTTTCTTTACAGATAAGAAAAATGACCCAAAGAGAGCGATGGCCCCTAAAAAGAATACAAATACCACTTTTTCTGGAATCTAACACACTGGCTTCATTTTCAAAATGCACACTTTATTGTCCTCGTAAGGCAGCCATACGTTACACACCTTAAGCACGTGACAATCACATGATCTCTTCAGTAAGTCCCGGGACTTCCACAGCTTTCCCGGGGCTTACAGTCAGCGCACTCCCGAGGGGTCAAATATTAAAGCTTTCTCCACAGCCACACGTTCCTTTGATGTTTGGGTTATTGAAAACAAACTCACTGGATAATTTGTCTTCAACATAGTCCATTTCTGTTCCTAAAAGCGTTAGCTGTGCTTTCTTTTCGATGAACACTCTGACTCCTTGGGGAGAAGAAAACAGGTGTCACATAAAGCCTGCTGACTCGAAGCTCAAGTGAACTTTAAACAGTAACGACTCACAAAGCCACAGAGGAAGCTCCCGAGTGTGTCTCAGTATCTCCTTTAAGGGATTTAGTGTCCAGCTTCCTGTCTGGCCCCTCTTTCCCACACAATAATCTATGTCAAGAACAATAGTATTAGGCTAGACAGATGTATACAAGAAAATTCCAAAATAATTCCATGCAAAACTAGAACTTGCTTTTCACTCCACTCATTTTTCCAATTTGCAACAGGAAGAAAATGTATATATTCTCAGTGAGAATTTTGTAAAGACGGAGACAATAAAACATATGAAAACCTTGCAATGACATCTGTACACACGGCAGTGCGAGCCTGGAGACACAAAAAGACTGTGACACAGCGGGCTGGTTTAATAAGAGCAATCAGTACAACACAGCAGTTCCGTCCTTCTGCGCCTGGGCTGGAAAACTGCTAATGACATAACCCCTAGTAATGATGTAGGGAGAGGTTGGCATCTTCGTAAATGCAATCGGTTTAAGAAAACTTTCTTCCTTGTAAGAAATTGGAGTAATTACTTAAATATGAACTACACATAATTATTAGATCTCTTCTTAAGATGAAAAATTGAAGGTTTAAGATATTTTATGTATTGACTTCAAAAACAATATATTAACAAATGTCTTTACTGGTCAGTCCCTTTAGTTTAATAAAGTGAATCGACCCAGGGAGTCCACGCACGCTGGCTGACAGCACGCCTCCTACACACAAGCACTGCTGTAGACCCTGTGCACACTGACGTCCCCCCAAAGTTGTAGCAGGAGTGACTTTGTTTTAAATAGGTTTACCAGATTACTGGTTTGCGGCAGGGAGTGGATGTAAAATGTAATTAAAGCACTGAAACTTTAAAAAAAACCCTGGAAATATAGATTCCTCAAAAGCATGAGATGACGTTATTTGACACAGATGTCAAACTGCTGCTTCAAACAAAAACGGCTGGTTCATTCTCAAGTTTTATCACCTTAAAACTTTCTGCACACGACTATCTTTCATAAGTGAAATGAATAAATAAGTTTACTCAATAATCTATCAGTTACTAAGAGCACAGCCTCTGGAGTAAACTTGACTGGGTTCAACTTTTCACTAGGCCACTTACTAGCTGTGTGACCTTAGGCAAACTATTTAACCTCCCCACGCCTCAAGTTCCTTCATCTGCACAGTGCGGACAAGATGGTACCATTCTCCCCTGGCTGAGTGTATAAATCAGTTAATACATGAAAGTCCGTCAAACCACACCTACCTCATAGTGAGCCCCATACACCACTCTACACCATAGGAGAGCCATTCTGACTACTATCGTTCATGCCACGCAAGGCTAAAAATCTCAGGCAAAACAAAGTGCCCAGAAAAAGTGTGCTCAAAACTCACCGTCTTGAACGACTTCTTCATCAGAATCTCCTTTTGTCTTCGTATATTCTAGAGTATATGAGAGGCCATTACAACCCCTGGTTCGTACACCAACTTTCACACCTACCTGAAAAAGTATCACAAATATAAACTTAGTTTTCAAGTAGTACAGATTAATTACTTTAATAAAAACCCTGGCTATGTGACATTTTCCATTTCTTCATAAGCTAAAAGATAAATATTTCTTGCTATAAAATGTCTCGAATGGCAAACAAGTATTTAAAAAAATTAACTTTGTACAAACATCACTACAACACTAGCAGGGATCCAAAGAGAATAAAAACCAATGACATGCAAAGAAAATAATACAGAGAGGAAAAAACCCTTAAAACTATAGTCACTACTACGCTAAAAAATCAGCTTATATGTTTTTTCCTATTTTCTTCCAGCCCTTGTCACATATATAATCTAAACATAGTTTTTATTATAGCACAAATGAAAATTTTATTCTCAGCTTTGTTTTTTCTACTTACGACATCATTTTCCTATGTAATTAGCCTTCACAATTATCATTACCAAGTAATGCCTAAATATTCTACTATACCAATGTACGTTTATTACTTAACCCTTATTACTAGTCATCTAGGCTGAGAATAACTTTTTTAAGGGAAGAGTTTTAATTCCAAAAATGAATTATCACTTTTTTTTTTAATGGAAAAAGAAAAGTATCTCACGGCAGAGATGACTACCTAAAAAAATCAGACTTTCTCAAAAACGTTCGTGCTCCACCTCATTGTGTGAGATGTGCTCAGGGAGTTTCTCTACGGTTTGGTTCACCAAGGTTCCTGGGCCATCACCTGGCCATCACACTGCCTCTGCACAGCCCTGAATTCTAGGGCAGACCTGTGTAAACATTCTCAAATACCAGAAATCAAAAGACTGCAGCAAATATAGAGGTAAGAACTTTAAAAAGTGAGCAAACAGCACTTTTCAAACATCGAAGTCTACCTTAATCTAATTTTCTAACAGTATCTACTGCATTTCTATTCTTGGGTCCTATGTGCTCTTTCACTTAATTATACAATCAAAGTATTATAAAAAGTATGATTTCACCAAGCAGATCCTGATTCCCTTAAAAACAGCAATGTGTACTTGCTTCAGGAAAGCAAACATAAAGCAGGAAGACACATGGTGAGGGCGAGTCAGAATGCTGAGCTGCCTGCAGTCCTGACAAGCTGAAGCACTCAGAGGGTAGTCTCCTCGGTCCTTAACAACAAGGAGACAGAACTATGGTTTGATTCACCTTGAGAGCCACAGCTTAGGGAACGTAGGTGGGAATGCCACATACGTAGCATGATGGATAATAAACTACCTAGCTGAAATTCTGGGGCACATGTCATAAGTATTTGTTTAGCCTAGTTTTTATCTTTGTAAACAAGGAGACTCAAGCAAGCAGGCAGTCCAACTGTTAGGAATGGACATAGACACAGAGCGTGAAAATATGGCTTTCGGGTAGCTGGAGTTTGGAAAAGGGATTGCTTGTGCCATAAATTACACCCAACGAAGTGTTTGCTCAATCCTTTTCACATCAATATGAACAAACATCCCTCAAACCTACAAAGCTAAATTCTTGTTTCATTTGGTCAAGGTATACTCTAGCCAGTCTATCCAAATGGAGTTGGAACACTCATACACTTTAGCATTTAATAATTCTTAAGATGAAATGTGCTAGAACTCCATTACACTGTACTACAGGTTGTACAACGGAACCCAGAAAACCACTCTGTAGTCTAATTACTAAATATTCATAGTGACTTGAAAGTAGTTTACAACATCCCACAGGCAATTAGCAAGGCACTAAGATTAAGATGATGCCCACACTCCTTACTCCACAACTCTATATTTAGGAATACAGCCTACGCAAGTGCATGCCACAGGCTTGGCCCCCTAAAACAATGGGCCTGGCACCTACAGATGCTAAACATTTGTTGAATGATGTTTGTAGAAGCGCTGAATGAAAACAATCCAAAGACCATTAATATGGGGAATTGGTTAAATAAATCAAACCTGTTCAACGGAACATACTATTATATGCAGCCACAAAAAAGACTGAGGCAGACCTTTTCACAATGATATGGGAAGATCTTAGGCTATATTATTAGGGGCAAAAAAGTAAAGAACAGCACGTATGGAATGCTCTCATCTAAGTAGGAAAAGAGAGACACACACAACCGGAGCAAGCATAGCTAGGCCAGTGGGTGCCCTCAGGGAATTATTTTTGGTTGTCACAGCTCAGGAGTGGGGCGGTGCCACTGGCAATCTAGTGGGCAGAGGCCAGAGACACCACTGAACACCTTGCAATCCAGCCCCAACAAAGAATTATCCAGCTGAAAACATCCACAGCGCTGAGCCAGAGAAACCCTGGCGGAGGCAGATAAAGTGCATGGACTATCTGGGAGGATGATGAGAGGCCGCCGCTCAGAAGGAAGAACGACAGTGAAGCGTTTGGGGTCAAAGAATGACTTCCTTTTCACTGAACACCCCGTTACATTATTTTAATTTTTAAAAATGAGCATATTTTCCTTTTTAAACAAAAACCCCTGATCAATGAAAGCATACTGTCTATCACAAGATAAACTCATTGTGAAAATACAACTTCAATTAGTTACTAAATATTTGTCTGACTGTGTTTACTCACATGTTCAGGCTTATCTTTAAGAAGTTGTTTTATCTTGTTCACTGCTGAAGGTGTCTGAAAAAAGAAAATGTCATTAAGCTTTTAGTTACAAAACTTGCAATCTTCAAAGCCTTATATTTCCTAGTCTTTAAGACTATTCAAGTCTGTCTTTAGCAAACTCATGTGACAAACACATGTTCCATTCTTGCCAGAGCCTCGTGGATTTTATACACAAACATATGAACTCTACTCAATTCAAAGCATTCTGTTTATTTTTATTTTTAAAATATCTTCTCTAGCAACATCCTTTTAGTCTTGCTTTCCCTAGTCAAGGTCAGCTCCCTGTAACACACTCTATGGTACTATCTACTTACATCACAAATGTAATTTTTCCGGGCAGGATCTGTTTGGGGCTCCTACTGTATGCCCAGCAATAAGCACTCTGACACAACCGAGGCACTCAATAGCCAAAGACTGAATCAAGTACCTCCCCGGGAAAGCCAACCTCCAGGTGTTTTTCCTGTTGATTATTATTAACTCTACTGCTTTTCTGCTACCCCAATCTATTGCAAATCCATCAAAATGCATACCTAGAGGAAAAAAGTGTACCAGTGGCAACCCAGACTGGTTTCTTGTACCAGTCTCACCAAATGTTCACAGATTCTAAACATGGCTTAACTCAACATTTTAGGATTTCTTGATGAAAAGAACTAAGCTAGTCGACTTCAGAAACAAGAACAGGGAAGAGTTGTTTTCAGGAGAAATGCTGTTTAAACTAGCCTCATTGTCCTCAAAATGAGAAAAGCATCACAACATATTCTATGTATAGGTCAGCATCACCAACCTCACTTTCTTGGGAAGGAGGCTGTTAGGGACAAAGTCTATTCCAGGGCACTCCTGGTCCCCTTCCTAGCTATGTCACAGCCCATTTCTTGGGTGAATGGGGATAACAGTTGAGGATTCCTCTTCAGGATTCTTGTGAGAATTAAATAAACAAATTCATGAAGGGCATTCAGAACAGTGCCAGGCACAAAAAGCTCAATATCAGCCAGTTATTATTACAATGAGTACATCATAACAAAGAGATCATATCCCTCCTACTTTGTTTCATTAGCTCCTCTAGCTGGCAATGCTGTGCTGGTCCTCCAGTTTTTATATTGGCATTTTACTGGTTTGTAAAATCCCAAAGAGTGGACATCATGAAATACAACCAGGTACGAACTACAGTCAGAACTCATCCTGTGCTGAGAGGGCAGACCCAACGGATGGCCCAGAGCGTGCTCTCCACCTGTCTGGTGGGGGCCCGGCCAGACGAGAATCCTGAAGCAGAGTCTGGTCCTAGTTTAGAAAGGCCACAAAACCAATTCACAAGGATGAGACTAGCATTTCTTAAAAACACAAAATAGAAGACAAAAGAAAATGCATTGCACTGAAGACGAATGTTTAGTAAGACTTTTATTTGTTATTACTATATAGTGAGTATGTACATATATATATTTCTTATTGTGTGTCACTGTAAAAGAAAAAAAAAGGGTAAAAAATCACTACCAATAGGTGGTCTATAAAGGCCTTTTCCACGATTCCATGAGAAGAGGAGCCAATCAGTGTGAAAACACAGGGAACAGTATGGAGGAGGAGGAAGAAGGAAATGCTGAAGAGCAGAATTAGGGCCTTTTTTGGGGAGATCATAGCTTACCAACATCAAATAGTTACAGAAATATCTGTGAAAAATTTTTTTAAAAAGTGCTCACTCTTAATGATTGCCAGCAGAAACTGACTCCCATAATTTTCATGGTCCTATTTCCCATGTGAGTCCTAAACAACTTAATCTAAGTACTGTCAAATAGTAAAAGATTTCTGATACATTAAAAAAAAAAAGGCACAGCAATGAGAAAACATTCGTTGGAACGACAAGCTGATATGAAGCTAGCGGGTCACAGGTGCGGAGGGTCACCACGGCATGATCTAAAGGCGCACAGTATGCTGTCAGCAAGCCCCGCGTGATTTTCTAAAGGACCTAATTTTATAAAATACTATGTTTTCTTCTTTTCCCAACTCTTAGTTGAACACAAACAGTAAACGAAAGCACCTCATAGACAATGCTCCACAAAGTGGCTGATGGTCACATCTTATGCCGAAAGGTGCGGAAGGGAAAAGCGCCCGGTGCGCCTGGGAGTTGTGCTACAGGTACTCAAACGTGTCTTCATTTTCCCGTGTCAGGCAAAAACCAAACACACTCCACTTGGAGGAATATTACTAATGATGGATAACCCCGCTGAGTGCTCATTTAAAGGGAAAAACAGGGTTCTTACAACTTCCCAAATGACGGATCTGGTTTTCAGAACCGTCAGAATGACTAAACATGGAATATTTGGGACTTAAAAAATTCTAGCGATAAAAAAAGTACTTTTTGTATCTCAGTCCCAGGCAGAAGCTAAGGATCCCACTTTGCTCTAGGTCTCTTTGCACACTCGGGCAACTCTGCACTGAAGTAAAACCACTCTGGGAAACAGTATAAACCTTCAACTAAACAACAGGCTGCAGGCCTAGCAGCCCTCCAATTTCAATGCACTCCCCACACAACTAAGAAAGCCACAGCTTTCCAAGAGATTTCTGCATCATTAATGACTCCAATTCACCCGAGACCTGGCCAGGGAGTTAAAATTTAAGAGATTCTTGAAACTCAATGAAATATAATGATGATTTTTAATCTACTCATATATATATCACAGGAACACAAAAATATCCTTGAGCGAGATATTTTGGCCTTCTAAAAAAAAGATTTCCAATCTGTTTTTGTTGTTAAAATTATGGCAAAAGGCACTGTAGATGAACACATTTTATAACTACTTCATAGCAACATTCTTCTACTTTATCCAATGCGACAGGTATCCTCAAGCATTCCCCGGGCAATTTTCATTTTTTTGCTAAGAAAACAAAATGAAAGCTCAAACTCCATGATTATGTATACTACACATGTGCCAACAACTACAACGCACTTTAATTTCATTACAAATCTGGGATTTTTATTTTCTCCTATTTCTAAATTTACCATTTTAATGTTTAAAAGCTGCTAGATAAATAGCAGCCAATGAACAAGTTACAGTATATTTTGTTTAACTCGTTCTTTAACAGCTATGGCTGCCATTATGGTGGTGTTTCCCCTCCATCTTTTCCTATTCATGTATGTCTGTATATGTATACATATATATATATAATCATATAGACAGTTTTGTAGCCTACATCTTCTTTTAAAGATTGGCACCTGAGCTAACAACTGTTGCCAATCTTCTCTTTTTCTTCTCCCCAAAGCTCCCTAGTACATAGTTGTATATTCTAGTTGTGAGCGCCTCTGGTTGTGCTATGCGGGATGCTGCCTCAGCATGGACTCATGAGTGGTGCCATGTCTGTGCTCAGGATCCAAACCAGTGAACCCTGGGCCACCAAAGCAGAGTGAATGAACTTAACCACTCGGCCACAGGGCCGGCCCCACAGCCTACATTGTAAAAGCTTAACATGTTCCTCATTTGATACATAGAAATAAACATATATTCACCACTTATTGAGTGCCTTCTAGGCGTTTAATGGTTTATATGCATCATCTTTTTATTCTTATAATTCTGTTATTTAGGTATTAAAGATTAAATAATTTTCACAAGGCTAGTCAGTCAAAGAATGAAGAGTTATGACTCACAAACTTAAAAAAAATCATTATTTACAATGACTACATAGTATTTCACCAAAAGAATTCACTCTAACTTAACCAATCTCTCATTGTAGACATTCAGGCTACTTCCGCTTGTTTCCTGTGCAATGCCCCTTAAACTGCCTACATATACAAATCTTACTGCTTGGTCACTCTTACAAAGGCCTTCAATGAATTAACAGCTCCTTACTGAGTCCCAGTGTATTTAACATCGTATTGTTTCGCAGTCCTTCTCAACCAGGTGCCACTAGAAAGCTGTACATAATGAATTAACTTCTCTCCTGTGCGTCAAGAATGATGCTGGCTCTGTACATCATTCTCTCACAACTTTGGTTGAGCTTTGTGCACAGCTGTGGGCACACCCCCAATCCTAAATTAGGGTTGCAGGGATTCTCATTTGTACAATGATGGAAAGAAAGGCTTCTGCTGGTAGGGTAGTGTTCAGTCTTTGGGTTCTTTAGTTGTATTTCACTCCCGCTCCTACAAATTCAACTCCCTGTGTCAATTCCTGGGTATGTAAGGAAGTATGGGGAGGGGGACATCCTCTTTGGATATTCTCCGCAGGTGTCCAAAGGTACTCACTTTGATGTGGTGGGTTGGAGTCTTAAAACATTCAACCAAAGAACCATCTCTGGTTTGCACAGAAGTGTGATGGGCAGCTGTCACCAGTCTAAGCCTTTCTCTCCAGCAAACTCCCAATCCTCTCCTGGTTTAACATTAGTTAATGCAGATAATTTGGTGCTGACAACATGGAATCATGTTTTCATTTCATCACTTCCTTTTCCTAGCTTCTTGCTGACCTCTGGTAGACTGAACAGGTACAGTGCTTTTCAAAGGTTGCAACACGTCAAATTCTTGATGTCACAATTTGTATATCTAGGTAACATGTACCCCTTCTTACCTGTTTTAGTGAATTATCTCTAGTTTCATTTGTTTTCCTCTGTCTCTACCATTAGCCCTTGGATGACCTCACTGTTTTTGCACTTAACAAATGTTGGGATTAAAAATGTTCGCAAAAACACTTGAAAACTAAGCACAAACAGCAATAAGTGACTGCCATAGCGTCTTGAGACTAGGGAACACGTGCCAGGATTAAAATGACCGCCAGCCTGCTAACACAGGCCCTTGGTGGAAAGCAGTGCGGACGTGTTTTTTCTCTGCACCAGCTTCTAAGAAGGAAGGAACATCTAGTCACCGGGTAAGCAGGATTAGTTCAGACAATGACTCCTGCAAGTTTATCACAACAGTTAATCAAAGGCAACACAGAACCCTTGTGGACTGAGAACTGATGTAATAAAGCAGTGCTGGCAGCAGAATTAGGCTGGTGAGAGGACGCACGTAATGAAGCAGGAGCAGCAAGCGTGGAGAGCCCAGGTCTCAGAATGCGACTGTATTATCATTCTCAGTAATTCCTAGAGGTGGCGAAGGCCAGGCCCAAAACTGTCTCCCAGGGCAGTGGGAACTATATAACTCCTTTATTTTTTGTCTTGAAACACAGTGGGTCTTAAATGTCTGTTGAATAAATACGAATGGAGAGGAAGGGGAGGACTCACACATTTTGAAGAAACAGGTAATATGCCAAATAATGCAGAAAGAAAAGGCCAAAAAGTGTTTCCACACTTTGACTCCTCCTGGCTCTACCATTACCGGTGGTAGAACTCTTTCGAATTCGGAGTAACTTTTACTGAGATTTTCAGGGGACACAAAGCCTGAGTTGTGCCCCCCAGTTCCTGTGGTTTCACGACCTTGAAGAACTCTGAGAATCAACGGTGTATCTTTCAGACATGGAAACGGGCGGGATGGCACAGGAAAAGGTACCACAGAACACAGCGCTGTCTGTGACCAGGACCACCTCTTCACGACCCACTACAAATGAATTCTCCCGCCTTAGCAGGACTCTCTTCTATTTTGCTACAACTGATTTTCTGGCAACAGGCCTTCTTATGGCATTAGATTGAAAGCAGTCCATCATTCGACGTAAATAACCTATCTCCCCAGTCTCTAGGGCAGGATGCTTCTTAACCGAGAATGGGGTGTGTGTGAAACTGCTGAGCTGATGATAAACTTTGCTACGAAATGACCCTCTTCCAAAACTGCGAATACATGTGCCTGCTTAAAGCATTCGGGTTTCTTTTAGGGTCAAACGTTTTGGAAGTAGACAGAAGTGATGATGCACAGCACCGTGAATGTACTAAACGCCAGTGAACGGCACACTTTAAAACGGCTAACGGCGGATGTGGATCTTCCCCGGCTAAAACGGCCACGGCAGGCCAAGCACACAGGCCGCGGGGAACCGCCTCTGCGCTACGCACCCTGCCCCTCACCCGCACGCACGGACGCCCAGCCCCGGCGCCTGGCCTCTCACCCGCACGCACGCACGCCGGGCCCGGTGCCTGGCCTCTCACCCGCACGCACGCGCGCCGGCGCCGGGCCTCTCACCCGCACGCACGCACGCCTGGCCCCGGCGCCTGGCCTCTCACCCGCACGCACGCACGCACGCCTGGCCCCGGGGCCTGGCCTCTCACACGTACGCACGCCTGGCCCCGGGGCCTGGCCTCTCACCCGCACGCTCGCGCCCGCGAGCGGGACCCTCCCCTCCGGCGGCCTGAGGATGCCATCGGCGGAGCCGCAGCGGTCCGGCGGACTTCAGGACGCCCCGTCCCCGCCGCTCCCGCCCCACACGGGGGTCCTCGGAGGGCTCCAGCCCCCGGGCACCGGCAGGGGCGTCCCGGTTGACCTGTCCAGCTGCGCCGGCACCCCGCACACCTGGCCTCTGACCACCTGCCCTCGAGGTCCGCGGCCCGCGGCCCGCCAGGATCTCGGGCGGCCCGGGGCGGGCGGGGGGTTGGTCGGGGGCGTGGTGTGTGTGTCCGGCTGCGCGCACACGACGCTCCCGGCTCGCCCCTCCCCCGCCTGGGGGCGCGCGGCCTACTGGGAAGCGTAGTCCCGGGCGCCGGCCCGCGGAGCAGCCCCGCCCGGACTTGTTTATCTCCCAGCAGCGGTAGGGGAGCGCGCCCGGGGCCCGCCGCCCGCCCGCGCCACCCCGCCGCCGTGACCTCCCGTCGCGGGGCGGAGGTGACCCAGCGTCATGGACGCAGCCGCGCGCCTCGGCCACTCACCAGGGTGAGGGCAGCCCTAGTGGGCTGCAGCTTCCTCTTGCTCACGGCCCGGACGGTGGCTCGGACTAAGGAAGCCGACATCCTGGCCGTCCCGGCGCCCAGGTGCCTCGGGCCGGAGCTCGGCCGCCTCAGCCTCTCTCCATGGACACGGCGGGCGCATTGACGCCACAAGCCCCGGCGCACGGCCCCAGGCCCCGCCCCGCGCGGTCCCTCCGCCGCCATTGGGCGGGCCGCGTGAGTGACGGGCGGGGCGGGGCCGGCGCCAGGGCCGCGGGCACGTGACGCGGGCGCAGCGGCGCGGAGGAAGGTCGTCCCCGCGAGGACAACCTCGGCGTGGCTTCGGGAGTGGGTTGCTGCAGGCGGAGCGGCCAGCGGCGTGGGGACTCCGGAGGCGCGTCGCTGCATGACTGCCCCCTGGGCAAGGAGCCGCCGCTTAAGAACGTGAGGAGGCCCCCCAGCATGGGAGCTGATGCTCTCGAGGCAGGACGGTTCCGCGCGCAGCCAGCCACCTACGCTTCAGCCTTCCCTTTTGGTCCAGCTAGATGGTTTTCAAGAGCGTAGAACTACCGCAGAGAATCGTGTAATAAATAAAGATCCCCCCTCCCCCAACTGCGTGCTGTCCTACTTGGGATGTTGAAGGATGGTGCTAATGCAGTTTTCGCTTTAGATGCTGGCTTTGGATCCCTCCCCTACGATGTGACTGGGCAGCTCTGAATACTCACACTTATAACTAGTACCAGTCAATGCGCTTGATTGAACACCTGTTTGTCAGACCCTGTCGTAGCTGCTCGGTGGCCTCTGTCTCTTAATTCTGCCTATTCAGCAAATAGTCCTGAGCACCAGGCACTGTACCTGGGCATCCACAGGAGGCCTGGTAAACGGAGGCCCGGGGAAGAGTGGGAGATGCTGGGAGGAAGGAAGCGTGGCCGGGTCAGCAGTCGGGAGAACAGGATGGCACTTTTCAAAAGTGCCAGGGGTGAAGGGAAAGAGGGAGGGGCTTGGTTCTGTGGAGCGGCGCTAGCGGGGTAGATCCTCGCTCAGTGTTTTGACGGGGAAAGAACTAATCAGTGCAACGGGTTTTCGTGGCCGCTTTATCTTTCATCCCCTAGAGTCGACAGGGTTGGATAGTTCAAAATTCCGTTAAGTAGTTAATGCAATCGCATTGACAATAAGAGAATCGTTATTTTTTCCCTAAGCCCCACTGCACACAGATACTGTAGGATTAGGAGGCGTCTTGGCTATGTCTGACTAGCTGGGTGATTTGGGATAAATCATTTTACTTCTCATGTCCTTCCTCCTACAGATCTTGTGAAGATTAAATGAAAAGCCCTTAGAAGAGTGCATGGTACGTGGCAGCACTCAATAAACGCTAATTGTCAGCAGATATTTAAAGATGCCATATATTGTGAAACTGTTCTGTATGATGCTGTACAACGGTGGATACATGTCACTATACATTTGTCCAAACCCACTGGATGTACCACACCAAGAATGAATCCTAAAGTAAACAAGGGGCTTTGGGGGATAATGAAGTAGATTCATCACTTGTAACACGTCCCACTCTGGTGCGTTATGTGGATAGTGGGAGAGGTTGGTGTGTGTGGAGATGAGGGGGCATGTGGGAGCTCTCTGTATTTTCTACTTAAGTTTGTTGTCAACCTGAAACTGCTCCAGAAGATAAAGTTTGTTAATAGAAATGTAAAAAAGGATGCCATGTATCATTTTTATCAAGTATTGAAATAGTTATACAGTTGTGGAGCACTTTACAGGTTTCCGAGGAACCCAAACATATCATCTCATCGCAGCCTCACAACTTTGAGCTGCGGAGGGCAGGAGTGTTAGCACGGCGATTTTACAAAGGATCCTTGAACTCAAGCCTTTTAGTCTAGTGCATTAGACAATATTTTAAAAATCTAGTCTTAAATTTTCTGAGTCAGGATCTGGTGTATATTTATACAGGCTTCTTTCCTCTATTTAATAGACACTAGTTTTTAATTGGTGAACTGTTTTGCATGTAAGTGCGAAGTCACATAATCCACCTGTCAGGGCATCAGGCACACCTAATGTTATTTGAAGCTGGCACAGCTCCAAGAGATAAACTCGTGTTAGAAGAGTTTTCATGACTATCTCAGAGAAGCAGCTGTCCTGTGGTGTCGAAATGAGGTGGGTGTGGAAACTGTTGAAGGAGATTGCAAGCTCTAACCATTTTTAGATTTCCACTAATAGCTTAAAAACATATTACTATAGGGAAATGTTCAACACTGCATTTTAGGATTTAGTTTCAGCGTTTTAGACATTTAAAAAAGTGTTTTCCTAGGAAGACCTCACTTGATCCTCACTATTCTGTGGGAAGGCAGGTATGATTCCCATTTTATAGGCAAGGAAACAACGGCCAAGAGGTTGGGGGGACTGTCACACTCTCAGCTGGAAAGCTGGCAGAGCCAGACCCTAAGGAAGCCTAGAACTCCACTTAGTGAGAAGTGTGCTCAATTCTTGACTGCCGCTGTCCAAACAAACCTGCTTTCAAAGAAAAAAGTACCAAGTGCATCTTGACTTTCATGGGGATTTGTTAACTTCTGTGTTTTCTTGTTAACATTTTTTGCCTCTAACACTGTGAACCCTACTGATCTATCTACTCAGGATTTTTTCCACTAGGGAAATATTTTTTTAACAGAACCATTTGTGAAACACCTTTCAAGATGAAAAACTGAAGTTATCTCAGAACATTTTAACATCTCTAAATGTGCACATTGCTGATACTGTACATGCTGAGCAAGACACTAAAAAGTGTACATTGGGGCTATAAAAAATGGGTTTCATAGAATTGAGGTAAATCATATTTGTTCCTCAAAGAGGAAAGGAGAATCCTGGTACTGGGGGATTTGTGGAGCTTGTTGAGAGAGAGGTGAGCCGCATTTGAAAGACAGCTGTGCCCTCGGAACTGGACGTGGCATGGAGCAGATGCACCTGCCCCCTAGCTGGGGCACTGAGAAGGGGCTGTGACCACCATCCAAGTACAGGAAGTAAAGAACCAAGGGCAAGGCATTCTCCAGATCTGTTGTTATATACCGGTCATCATCCCACTGGTCCAGTGTGAGGGGTCAAAAATCAAACAAAAAGCCCAATACACTGGGCAGAATCTACTATAGCAATCAGAATAAAATGTAGGAAACTTTAAAATCCTTAAAAAGATATAAGAAAACATGGTTTCTGTGAAAAGGAAGAAAATAAGAATAAACTAAAAGAATGAGAGGAAAGGAAGGTGAGTGAGGTAAGTTTAAGAAAATTAGAAGTGAAATGACAAAATTCATGTTAGAAACAGCAAACAGCAGAATGACACTAAAATTCAAGCCAGTCATGTGTATGGAGATTAAACTTGAGAAGTTTTCCAAGGAGAGAGATGACAGAGGAATATTGAAAAAAGACAAAAACATTTTTGAAAAAAAATTAAGAACAGAGATATTTTCTCAAATTGAAAAAAAAAATTGGGTAGGGAGATGTATTGACAACAGTCGCTGACACAAAAATGACGGGGATAAACACACACAGAAGCATCCAAGCAGAAAAATAAAACCTACAAGGGAACAAAAATTAGGCTGGCCTCAGACTTCTGCTATCATGCCAGAAGACAAAAGCATCAATAGGCTTTCCGAAGAAAGTGTGACAAGAACTGTATGCCCAGTCAAGTTGACTTTCATGCACGAAGGCAAGAGAAGAAATCAGAAAAGGAGCAGCTGAGGAAAGTCTTGTAGAGCAGTTTCAGCCCAGGGTGCGTAATTCACTTGTTAATTCGTGAGTTTGTGTTCAAACTGATTAAGGAATGATCACTAAATCTACCACAGCTTCCCAATTCTCGAGTTAATTTTGATATGATTCTTCTTTGCCTGGAATATGTGTTCAAGTAATTTGTTGAAAAGAAGGGCACATAGGTGTGTATTTTCTGAGCCCGCTCCTGTCTGGGAAGCCTTGCCCAGCAAGCTCCCTCCGCATCCCTCTTTAGGTCTTCATCCCGCTTAGTCTGTGCCTCTGACCCCCACATTCCCCGTGCGTGGTACACAGTGGGTGTCACTGATCACCAATGACCGTGTGAGCACAAGCAGAGGGAGCAGGAGAAAAGAGGAACAGATCTGTGCTGCCCTTACTCCTTGGTCTAGCTTCCTCAGGAAATTTAGGACTCTCACTAGAAAGTAATGTGGATAAAATTACAGATTGAAATTTTGATTTTATTTCAAAATGATAAATAAACCAAGGCATAGTTCTGACCATGTACTACTTCTGAAGGGCTTGTGACGTTAGAGAAACAATTCCATGAGGGCTCCAGTCAGACTCAAAATGACGCCAACCAAACTCGTGATTGGCAGAGATAGCCTCTTTAATCTTCAGGGATGTTTAAAAGTTCTCCACCCTAATTGAATATCATAAAAAGTAAAAAGCACTTTTATTTTGTCATTTTTCCTTTGAAAATGTTTTTAGCAGCAAACAGGACGACTTGTTTTCCTTACTTCATTTTTATGAGCATAGTACTTATATGTCAACTCACTTAAAATTAGAGAGGGAAAAACACAAGCCCCTCAGTGGCACTGCTCATCCATGGAAGGCTCACATAAATAGGTACTCATGTTCGTTATCACTTCTACAAATATCAATAAAATAAAGTTTGTAAATTGTAAATACAGTAGTAGCAGTTCACACATATTTGATACGCTTTCACACAAGGATTCAGTAAACAACAATAAATATAATTTCCCCTCTTCAAAACAAAAGGGATTTATAGGGGAAAAAAGGGTTAATTCCTTGGGGTTTATCAGCACACCATTCTCAGTGTGCTTTGAAAGAATTAAAAACCATGAAATTGTATTCAGTAAATACTGGCCCATAGTTAACTTTTTTTTTTAAACCTGGCTTAAATACATACGTCATGGCTTTCCATTAAAATCCTTGAATCTATGGGGATTTGTGGTAGGTAAGATTATATTAAAATTTTTTTTCCTCATTAACAATTTCATTAAGTTAAAAAAATCTGACATTTCCCTTAAATATTAAGTTGAAGCCTGATCTACGCTGCTGTGTCCTGTGAAATGAACCTAATTTTCAAAGTGAACAGGCACGCCCGAGTGGCCACTGAGAGTGCTGCATTTCCTTCCCTCATGATTCCTGCTGGGTCCTCTTCGCTGAGGCTTTTCCCTGAGTCATATATTTACTGGAAAGGCTACCTAGAGGAGGGGAAAAAACAAAACCCAACATAAATAAAAACAAGCCTCACTTTACCACAAAAGCCATAAAATTACTTCTTATTGTTAATTATTTACAGAAACTTTTCACACTGGCATTGGTCATTTGTTTTGAATCAGTAATTAGGCTAGATATAAAAAAGTATATATGAAACATGACCTATTAAACACAAGCCTCGTCAAAATTCTTCCTAATGAAGACAAGCTGCTAGAGTGACATCATTTTAATACACGCGCATGTTCACTATCCGAGTTGGTGCAGAAGGGTCAGGTGAAGCTGTTTCAAAGGCTCTGCTTTGCATAAATCAATGTCTTCATTTGCAAACACACAGACCAAATTGCAAAGAACTCTTTGGTCAGAAATAAATACCTTGTATCATTGCTCTGCAGATATGAAGCCATGAATGGTGACATTCTAGCAATAACTTACTGATATAAAGGGAAATTTATTATACTTACAGGTAAAGGATAGAAATGAAGATTACTAATTAAAACCACACCACAGAACAGTTAATAAATTTTGTTCTGGAGTCTAAAGAAATAGATCAATGAAATAAGAAAACTGAGAAATTCTTAAGTGATTATCTATAAGAGAGTAGTATATAATAAAAGTTGCATTTCAAACCAATGGGGGAAAGTATGAATTTTTTAATAACTAGTATTGTGTCAAATAAATTAATTTTGGGGAGGGAGGGAGGAGTTAGTTTCCTTCCTCACGTTATACCCTTCCTCCCTACCCAATTCCAAATGAATTACAGTATTAAATATAAGAGGGTCAAAGTATAAGAAGGAGTGAATATTTATATAATCTTGGGGTAGGGAAGAGTTTCCTCAGCACACCACCATATGCTTTACTTATGAAAAAGGCTTGCTATGCTTAGTAGAGAAAAGATGAACACCAATAGATGACTGGGGAAAGAAAAAGCAATATATGGAAGAGAAAGAATATGAGTATTGGTAATCAAAGAAATGTAAATTAAAACAAGATACCAATTTTTGATCACCAAATTGTTTGAAAGACGAGCAGAAGGAAAGGGAGGTGGGTAGAAATTTTGCTAAAAGAATATTCACAGAAAGCTTATAATAACGTAAGTATGCAAACAAATGTCTAAAACTTTTGCGATATGACTAAGTATATTAGGAACACAAGAGAATACTAGGTATGCATAGAAGGATAATTAATAACATGAAAAAAGTAGGTCATAAAACCACATGAATAGTATTTTCACAAAAACTAAAAATTAAACACATGAAAAACTACACCAATCATATATTTGGTGCTTCATTTTCCTTATCTGTAAAATGAGGGCAATAACACCTACCCCTTGGGAGCAATTGTGAAGATTAAATCAATTAATACATGTAAAGCAACCGGAACATAGAAACTACTCAATAGATGTCAACTATTATTATTACATCGACATAAAAAGATGGGAAGATTTTACTTCCAAAACCTAAACAGTTAATGTTCTACGATGGAGCAAGTATAAATGGCTTTTATTTTCATTTTGTTTAAGTATACTTTCTAAGTTTTCTAAAGCAAATATCTTAAGTATACAAATAAAAACTTATGCCCCCAAAGCAAACTTTTCAAAGCAGGGCATCTAGATAGTCAACACCGTGAAAAACGAACGACACCAGTCAGACAGAAAGCATGCACCACAGTACTGTGGTATTTATGCTACAGAACGTCTGTTGGTCTACAGGCACATATCTTTGATATTCTGAACTGCACAAAGTGTTGAGGATAAAGCTATCAGAAGAAAATATAGATGGATATCTTTATGACCTCAGGTTAGGGAAGAATTTCTTAAAGATGACCCTAGAATCATGAATTACACGACCATGAAAACTAATCATGGAAAACCAATCATTTGATTATCTCAAAATATAAACTTTGGAGTAGCAAAGATAAGTGGCAGGAGTGGCAACAGACATAAGGTGAAAGACAAAGATATACTGGAGGAAGATATTTAGAATGCATATAATAATAAAGGAGCACTATTCAGAATAAATGAAGAACCCTCACAAATTAATAAGGAAATGATAATGGAACAGGAAAATGTGCAAATGATCTGAACAGGCTATTCACAGAAGAGGAACTCCAAGTGGCCAGTAAACATATAAAAGGGTGCTTAGCATCACCAGAGTCAAGAATATAGGCATTTGAACACGACTGAAGTATTGTTCCCTCATCAGATTTGCAAAAATAAACACTGCTGATAGTAGTGGCAATTATTTCAACCAATAGGATAATTTGACAATATTTAACTAAACTGAAAATGCACATATGCTATGACCTAACAAGTTGACTTCTAGGTACATGAACCCTACAGAATCTCTCAAACATGTTCTAGGATTAAGAAACTTTGTGCATTCATGTGATGGAATGCTATAAAGAAAAAACTAAATCCATATACAGCAACATATATAAATTTCAAAATAATTTTCTTAAATAGATTTGAAAAAGCAGGTTGTAGAACATTCTTATTATACAGTATGATGCGTTAAATTTAAAAATTCACCAAGGATACATATATTAAAAGACACATTTGTAACAGCTTAAAAAAGAACTGGAAGAGCACCTGAACTCATAATAACGGATGCCTCCGGGATTGAGGAGGACATGACAGAATGGGCCTGGGGATGGGAGTCAAAGGGGACTTCCACCATCTTAATCTTTTATTAAAAAAAAAGGAAAAGAAAATGTGAAAAAAATAATGCCAATTCTCTAGTAGATGGGTAGTTATTATATTATTTATATCTTTTTATATTTTTTGGCAAATGTTAAAAAGTCGGTTTTTTCCCTAAGAAAGGTACAGTACTAGTAGTCTTATTACTGTATCACTTAAACATGTAATTTCCCATATATAAAAATAAACCTCATCATACTTGAAGAAACTTCATATAAAAAGTTTCATATAAAAATTCACACGTAAAAACCCAAAACTACTAGAAATAAAATACGAATGAACTTTTACGTAATCTGGGGCAAGAACATGAAATTCATAAAATTGTGTAAGCATGACTTGAAACTACCCAGAAGCTGGCTGATCGAACTACTAAACTACCCAGAAGCAGATCAAACTACTAAAACAAACAAGCAAACAAACGTCTGTAAGGCAAAAGAAATCATAAATGAGGCTGAAAGAAAAATAAAAACAAAGATGAACACTCTAATTAAAAAAATACAAAAACATAACATGAAGAAATACAAATGAAAATGTGAAAAATGTTAGTGTTCAATGATAATAATAGAGATTCAAGCAGATTGGCAAAAAGACTATCCCAGTAAAGTGAGGGTACAGGAAACAGGTTGTGAATGACTCTGGGATCGTCGCCAATCACCATTTGGCATTATTGGTATCATTGGTGAAATGTGCATACTTTTTAACCCATCAGTCTCCTAACTGGGAATTTATCTCGAGGAAATAACTAGGCAGATATGCAATATTCACTATAGTGTTTTAAACAAACAGTTGGTTTTCAAACATGTATTCTTGAGTCAACTTAACGGGACAAGTGGGCAAGGTGCTTTAAGAGAGCCGACTGCCGCGCCTCCACTTCTATCTGAATTCTTTCTGAGAACGCCTTTGTGGCCAAGACTTTGGGCTGCTTCTCGGGAATCACACCAGTTCTCCTTTCCAACTCCCCTTTCACAATTTTTCTCCTCCTACTTTATAAATGAGAAGCATTATCTCCTCACCACCCAAATCTTAGTATGGTATGTTGCCCTGGAGTGAAACAGCACGGGGAGGCAGGGGAGGCAGGGAGGCACACAAAATGCTGGTTATCTACGATAAATGTGAATGCTTCTAATAAAAATCCAAGTGTTCAGTTTTTGTAAAATTACAGTGATAGCTGATGATCATCACAAATAATTTCTGATGATACATTACTTTATGATTTTGGTTATTCAATGAAAATATTCAGTGAAAACAAATATCTTTGTTCCCAAACTCTTAAAAAGCATTTCTATTATTTTTAATTTACTATCATAAAGACTTCTGAGGTTTCTCAATGTTTACCAACTATAAAAACAAAAGGATTAGGAATAGAAATGATAAAGAACACTGTTTCATTCCCGCAATAGGTAGTACTGATCCAAAGATACACGAATGCATGGGGAAAAATCGCATCCATCTCATTAAATGAGGGTCACTTTCAGTGAGCAAATATAAAAAGTAATTTTTAATCAAAATTTGTAAATTTATTTTGATCAATTATATTATTCTAGTAATTGTAAAAACAATTTAGAAGAAATGTTTACATTTGAGACTTAAGTGTAAAAATCCAATTTATATAAATATTTTTGTTGCAGATAAGTATGATAGGCTGATCAATAAAATGCATGAAATATATATGATAAAAATATATTATCTGAAGATAAAATTCTTAGAAGTAAAACAAAGGAATTCAAGGAAAAAGGGAAATGACGTAAAATTTCTGCAATATTTACATTTCATTTGAAACATTTAAAGCTGATTCAAAAGTTTTATTTTAAAAATGCCAATATTTACCAAAAAATGCCCAGAAATTACATGCTTTGTAATGTAACTACGATGAAACATTTAGATGTCAACTTTAAAACATACGAGGAGATAATTGGGCTTTCCACATTTTGGGGGTGAGTATGCAAGCAAAAATGTTTTGAAGACATTGATTTACCAAATATCTGAAAACAGCTTGTCCATTAATAAAGAATGATTAAATAAATAATGGTATAGTCATATACTGGAATATCAAGAAGAGTATCAAAAAGAATGATCTATATTCACTGATAAGATATCCCCATACTATTTAAAAAAGTACTTCTATTATTTTAAATTTACTATCATGAAAGCCACAGATTTTTTTTTTTTTAATAATAAGTAGGCTTTAACATTCTGGTCAAGGGAAAAAAAATGGTTTAAGTCTCCGGCATCATGCGGGAGAAAAGATATCCACCAATCTCTTATAGCATCTCCAATTTTTGAGATTTC